TATTAACAAATAATGTGAGAGTCCGCCTTGAAGGTGATGTTTTCGCTAGCCAATATTCGGATCTTTTGCTAAAACAGGGTAACGGTGATTACCCAGAAAAATATGGCATGACATCTGTCACTTCCGATCTGTGCATGTCAATAACAATAGTTGAAAACCTGATTTTAAATCCCACCGTTGTGATCATCTCGGAAATTTTTTTTTAAAGACATCCAAAATTTGCAACCTTATTAGGTTGCAAATCAAAGCTTTGCACCGGAACGTAGTAGAAGCTACCATTTTGACCGGACCTGCTCAGGGAGAAACAGTGTTTATACTATGTATACCATTAATACTAAATGATCTCCCCTTTGAATTCAAAAGACTCCAGTTTCCCCTGAAGATCTGTTTCGCCATGACCATAGATAAGCTGCAGAGGCAAACTCTCAAATTCGCTGGAGTAGACCTACGACAGGACTACTTCTCCAGTGGTCAGTTCTATGCGGCATGCTCCTGTGTAAGTTCACCTCAAAATTTGGTTCTATTGCTACTACCTTCAAAATGATAAAAAATGCTGTTTATAAGCAAGTACTTCAACAAGTATAAAGTTGTTGAACACTGTATAATGTTCAATTATCACCTTCTACCTTACATCTTCTGTTTAATATCTAGGTACTTTCAATGACAAATTCACAACAAGTTTAATTGTAGGTAAAGTTTAATTGGAACATGATATGCGTATCACAAAGTGGTAAAAGTTTGTGATATGGAATACTAGTTGCATTATAATCAAAGTGTTTAAGATTTACCTACTGCATCGTCAGTGTTTACCTTAGTATTTATGTCTTTCAAAGGACTTCAACATTTATAATCGCTGATTGGTCATTATCAGACCTTTTACTGTTACTGTAGTGCACAAATAATTTAACTAAGTGCCATTTTAGTCACGCTTTTATCTATTCGGCATGTTCCCCTTGGGCCTATTGGAAAAGTATGTTGTGAGTCTTCGCTCCTTATTTTTGCCAAAATCTAACGAAATTCAAGTTTTGCCGGTGCCCAAAATGTATACTTGTTTGTTCATTTGTTAATAAATCACAGTAATTATTACTACTAATACTGACAAACCTTAAGCTATCACATCGTTAAGTAATCGTTAAATAAGTGAATTTACAGGTTATAGTACTTCCATCCAAGACAATCATTTTATGTTTTTCATAATACCTACAAAGGTAGGTAAGGTTTCTCTGTTCTGCTCTGAAACTGATCTGAGTCACGTCAGGATTTTACAATATCCAAAAAATTCAAGATTCAGTTAATCTTGAATTCCACTCATTGTATTTCGCATAAAACACCTTCTATTTTACTTAAAATTACTCCGAATTTGACACGTTATTTATGTTTTCAAATATTAAACCACTAACTTTATATTTTTTCAATAGTAAGCAGATTAATGAAAAAAGCAGATTTGGTTAACAATTCGCTACCTGAATCACTAAGCCCACGCGGACGAAGTCGCGGGCAAAAGCTAGTTTTACTATAATTTGATCATCCTGTTAACTGCCTTATCAAAAAGATAATTCTAAATGGAGTAGATACATGGCAACGAAAAGTGGTTTCAGTGTAATAATTTGATAGATACCCGAAATCAAGTTCATGATAATTATGTTGTACACTTACTATTCCTTTTTGTGTTTGTTTTCCTGAAATGAATAAAGTTTTTAGAGAAAGAACGTCTTTGGGACATGTTGGCCGCTTACCAGCAGATGGGCCGTAAGCGTAAGCTGGTTTGGCAGCCATTTTTCATATTGCAAAAAAGAGGTTTAATGTGTTCAGGTTTCATGTATATAATATGTATATGTGCATTTTTTATGTTCCGTACCTCAAAAGGAAAAAACGGAACCCTTATAGGATCACTTTGTTGTCCATCCGTCTGTCAAGACCGTTTTTCTCAGGAACGCGTGGAGGTATCAAACTGAAATTCATATCTAATACTCAGGTCTATTGTCCCTTGGAGTTGTGAAAAAATTAAACTTCTAAGCCAAAGCAATCAAAAGATACACCCATTTATGTCGCAAATTTCAGCACATTTTCGAAACTCGCACGGGAATCAAAATCCACAGGATACTTCCCGTGAACTTAGAATCTTGAAATTTGGTACGAAGTCTTATAGTACAAATAAAGAAAAATGGCGAAAACCGTTAATTTTTAGTTTCATCTTATAATAAAAAATATTTTTTCATACTTATTAAATTATACCTACAGGTTTGTACGGAATCCTCGGTGCGCGAGCCCGACTCGCACTTGGCCGGTTTTTTATATTCCACCATAACTTCCAAACGCTTCCACAGTATAAGGTCTTCCTCCCCCCATTGCCGCGTTTTTATCGGTCAATAATATGGGATCAGCATCATCAGCCTATTGCAGGGACACAGGCCTTCCCTATGGATGAAACAGGGAGATTGGGCCATGACCCACCACGCGGGCCGTGTGCGGTTTGGTGGGTGTTAACGGCTGTAGATGCAGCCGGGACTAACGGCTTAACGTGCCTTCCGAAGCACCAAGATTTTGGACACCCATCCAACGATCGACCATTGCGAAAGTTGTTTAACCTCCACGATTGCAGGTCGAACGCGCTTTCCATCTGCGCCATCGAGCTCCTCATACAAAATATTGGATGCGTTATAATGATATCTGTTTTTAGTACTTTATGTATTAACTTGTGATAATAAAGACGACGAAGTATAATGGAATATTGGAATAACACATGCGATATCAACGACCGATAATAACGCCGCTCATATGGGTGAGGAGACATAGAGCAACACGGTCGACGCGACTAGGAGTCAGTAAGCATACACAGCTTTCCCTTCTGTCGGGTTGGGCATACAAATGATAAGTGTGCGCGTTGCCGCACCGTTCCACGTAGAGAATGTCGTGACGAGGAGATGAGCACAGACACTAAATTGGAACTATCGAACTCCGAAGCGAGAAATTATTGTAAATCATCCTTCCTTATTTCACTTGTAGTAGCACGAATTTTGTGCTGTCATCGTGTACGATGTCAAACGTCACTCACAGGTAAGTTCGTTTGACTTTCAATTAAACTTCTGTGACTTCTGTGAAGGCTAAATAATTTATATTTACTTACAAGCTGAGCCAGCGAACTTCGTATCGCCATAAAAATATGGGTGGTAGAAGGGTGGAAATTTAGGGTTGCATGTATTTTTGTATGACTTATCATAAGAAAATAAAAACAAAATAAATTGTATAAAAAATATTTAATGGTGGACCACCCTTAACATTAAGGGAGTTGAAAAATAGATGTTGGCCGATTTTCAGACTTACTGAATATGCATATAAATTTCACGAAAATCGGTCGAGCCGTTTCGGAGGAGTTCAATTACGCACACCGACACGAGAGTTTTATATATTAGATTTCACTTGTATTAGCACGCAGTATGTGCTGCCATCGTACACGTACACATGTACGCGTGTACTATGGCAGCACATAATGCGTGCTACTACAAGTGAAATCTCGAAGGGCGAATTACATCATTTAATATCAGTCGAACGTCACTTACTGGTACATTCGTTTGACTAAAAATTTTTCATGGATATATTTTTTAATAATAATGACTGTAAAATTATATTATTTACGATTCCAATGTTACAAAAAATAAATATTTGATTAGTAAGTAGTAACAATAAGTAAATCAACAAAACGTATAAATCTATTAAAACTATTTAAATTTATATATTTAAAATAATATTATGTTTACTATAATAATAAGTTTTATTGCACATATTAAATATACATTATATTAAAAAAATACTATGAAACAAACAAATGAACGAAACCCGTATGGGTACAGCAATAACGTTTATATTAATATACAAGGGCAAGAATTTAATAAACAAAATAAGCACTAGGTACATATATTGTAACATTAATAATATTTTTTATCTTTTATTTATTTAAGCTTTATTGCCTTTAACAATTGGCGGACTTAATGCCAGTACGGCATTCTGTACCAGTCCAGCGTAAAGAAGGTGCAGAGAATATAAAACGGCAGACAACGAACAGATATATCAGGTATATGTAAAAAAACTTGCAAAGAATAAAATTAATATTCAATGAGTTACACTTAGAATTTCGACATACATACAACATCTTTGGTTGGTCTCAGCTTTGGGACCTTTTTACTAAGGCAAACAGACATTACACATTTCTAACTTACATACTTAGGTTTATAGCAAATCAGTTTTATTTCTTATACATATGAATTAATAAATATTCCTTTTAATTATCAAATAATAGGTTTCCCATTAGAATAGGAAACGTCTCCATCTACGTATTTCTACACTGTCAATCCAGCGATTGACGAAATACTGACATAGAAATAAAAATTACATGTACCCACTTAGCCAAATACTTACTATTCCTGGCACATCTCAGGTGCACGTTATCAAAAGTCTAAGTATTTGTTTCAACTAATATGGTATTTTATAATTTGTTATTTATCAGTATTATAAAATACCTAATATTATTTAAGTTTTAATTAGGTAAGGGTATTTTTCATATTCTATAACTTCTCATAATCATGAAAACAAAATAAAACGTTGTAATGAAGTGACTTTTCTCATAAAACTGTTACAAGTTAATACCTACTGAATAAATACTAGCTTTTGCTTATTTGCTGGTATTCACATAAACACTTCATGATTTCTTTCTCAGAGAAGAAGAAAATTATCCTAACTAATTTGTTATTATTTTGTCTGAAATGAACAGTATATATTGCTAATAATTAATTTAACAAAAAAACGACGATGAAATTCTTTTAATAGAAATTCTATGTTTAGTACTTAAAGATTTCCTGTTAGATTCATTTAATTTATAACACTGCTGCACTTCCGATACTTAGGTAAAATTACAGAAATACTTAACTTATATAATTAAAGTTTATTACAGTAACTACTGTAATAAAATTTATATGCACTCATGTCGAATATTTCGACAATAAATTTTATAAACGCACATACATAAAATTTAAAATTTAACTCAATATAGTACCTACTGTGCTGGCTGTATCGTAATAGTAGTTTATGCGACTGAAATATAAGAAGGGGTTGAAAATAATTTCTCCTGGTTCCCATACAATGTCCTGCCGATCGTGTTTTGTTTTCGGGATTTCAGAAAAGTTTTCCAAAATACTTCTTTGTTACTTTGTTTAATTACAATTGTTCCTATGAATTTGAATTGAGTTGTATTGAGTGAAGATATAGTAGTGTATGCAACTGCATATAATTTAGATATTAAGACACTCGAGTCAACCTTATATAATATAAATAAACCGACTTTCGTGTTTTAATACCCCTTATTATATGACAGTCGCAAAAAGTACTATTATTATTTATGTAAATTCCTGTTATCCCTCTACTTCACTTCCTCTCATTTTCAGTAAACTTTTCCCCTGTATTTTTTGATGCGTGATACTAAGTAGAAAGCGGACACCACGACGAGCACCTGAAAATACAGATACAAAGTGAAAAAATATTTAATATAGTAATTCCATGGGATGGGAGATCGATGGCGCGGCGGTTAGGGCGTAGAATACGATGGGTGACCAAAACTTTTATTATCGTAAGCCGTGATTTGTAAAGATCAGCAGCAGTCTTTGGTCTCTGCTGCATTCACCAATATCCGCCCCTAGGAGAGGCCTTGAACGTACAACAGCAGATGAGATCTTAATTTACTGATGATGGTAAAAATTACAATTATACGATTGTTACATTCAGATTTAAGGAAAATGAAAAACCGGGGCGGCTATTTTTGAGGCCCATTTGGTTACTATTCTACTTACACCTTAGAGGTTGGTATACAGGGCGTCCCACGGCTACCTCACACGGAGGGAAAGTATATTAAATATTGAATTGAAAAATTTTACTGAAAGAAGACATCATTTTATTTTTAATAATAACTAGAACTGCATTCACAGATTTTTTAAAAATCGCCTGCTACAACTGGGAATGAAACTCGTGAAATTTCGAAAAATAAAACACATATTTCATGATAACCATCGAAAGGTTTAATCATAAGGATTATTTTCTACTAAATAACATAGCATTTTAAGATAGATATTATTCACATAAAGTGATATACAAACTGTAGTACGTATGCATTTCTTCTTGAACTCACAGTTACAATGCAATTGGCTGAAATTTATAAAATTAGCGGATACTTTAAGAAATTTAGGATGTTTGGATATGCGCTTACAGAAACCACAGCAGCGGATGGTAAACGTCAACCATGATGAACTCAACATTTTAACTTACTTTATTTATTTAAATAATTTTAAATAAAATGATAATTTTAATCACTTTTCTTTCATTTAAAATGCTATATTATTTAGCAAAAAATAATCAGTATGATTAACCCTTCCGATTGTTATCATAAAATACGTCATGCGTTATTTTTTTTCAAATTTCACGAGTTTGATTCCCAGTTGTAGCAGGCGATTTAAAAATATCTGTGAATGCAATTCTAGTTATTATTAAAAATAAAATGATGTCTTCTTTCAGTAAAATATCTTATCTTCAATATTTAGTTTACTTTCCCTCCGTGTGAGGTAGCCGTGGGACGTACTGTATATGCTTAGACTTACACCTAACAATAATATTTTTCACCTCACAAGCTCTGAAATAGAGGAGCTTTGTGACGCAAGTGGTTAGCGAATTCGGTCTTTCATGGGTTAAACAACTTTCACAATGGCTCATCATTAAATGGGTGAAGGAAAACTTATCATCTCGAGCCTCTCCGTGCTTCGGAAGGTACGTTTATTCATTAGACTCGGTTGCATCGGCAGTCCCTAGTTCCTACCAATCCGTACTGGGTCCGTATGGTAGGTCACGGCCTATTCTTCCTATGCCATCCATAGGAAAAGCCTGTGCCCCAACAGTGTGGACATGAATAGTTAGCTGGTGATGAATAAATGAAAGCTGGGAAGTGCACTTTCGCATTCAGATTTTGTATTCGCATTCAGATTCGATATTGTTTTCTAGGTTGAGAAATGTTTTTGAAAGTGCAACCTTTATATTTTGAATACCGCTGAAATGTATTTCAATTATTAAACCTTGTACGATGGTTAAAGTTTTTTTTTGTGAGTGAGTTCTGCTAGCTTTTGGTATGTTTTTGCAATTTCAATAACTAAAACCTTATTAATTATAGTATTGTAGATGTATTTGTACCTGTGTTACTACCACCGCAATGAGGATATACGTAAACACGTTAGAAATCGTAGTCAATATATCTATCAGGTAAGGTGTGCATCCACTGTAAGTCTCTTCTACTGCGCAGAATTCTGCTGTACCATTCTGATTATTTATTATATTCTCTATATCGGCTATGTCATTTATTGATGGAAAATCATTATTTTGACAGCATGTCGGTGGTATGGTTTGCCCTATAAGTTCGTAAGATTGACCACCAGTTGTACCGCAACACCCGAACTAAAAACACAAAACACATCTTATTTAGTAAAAAAATAAAAAAACTTGATACTTGTAAATTGTCTTGCAGCAGGTTTGTTAGCAACTCGTAAACGCAACGGAATTGAGTTCCAGATTTTTTTTTTAATAAATCGTTACCAAATCATAATAAACGTCGTGGCTCACAGCACAACAGTAACGGAGTGTGTTGTTCTTTATTTTTAAATATTTATTGGGTCTTTTTAGTGTATTATCATCATACCATACCTATCACAGATTACTTGCAAGCTAGATAAATTAGACCTGTGGAAATGTTGTCGTTGCCAATATTTGAGAGATAACCTCTAAAGTCCACAATAAAAATAAAGCACCAGATTTTACCAGGTCTGAGGAATAACTTAACAAAGAATGTAGTCTGATTAACCGTCAGGTTCAGGTCAGGGGTTTGAGTCAAGTGTCTATACTGTAGCTATGGTGACCTTTCAAATATGACTTTTTTGCAACCCTTTTTACAAAAGGATTTCGGAATCAGCGTAGCGTGGAACCTTCTTTTAAGCAGCCGTTTTGTGTTCTCAGTATCTCGTCAGGACACCAGTGGAGCCTGCTATTATAATTATCTTTTTCATCATTGATTGTGGGAGAATTTGGTTTGCTTACTCGGCAGTGGAGTACTCTCCACTATTAATGGAAAAAAAGGACTGGCTGGTGAACATATTAGAAAGTCAATGCCACTGTCAACAGTTGTGGATCAAAGCCGACGCGATTATTGTCTTACATTTGAAAACCGTTAAACATTTGATTATAGAACTGTAGAGTGAAAAGAGATGAATTGTACAGCCAATCAAGTCCAGTCCAAACTGAGTTTGTTCTTATAGAATTAAAAAGAAATCAAACACCAATTAGCCTAGCCCCAAAGTAAGCACTGTAAGGCTTGTGTTATGGGATACTAGGGTAACGGATAGAATACATATATAAGTATATTTATAAAGAAATACATATTAAACATCCATGACTGGAGTACAAATGCTCGTATTCATCACACAAATATCTGCCCCCGCCGGGATTCGAACCCGGGGCCTCTCGAGTCGGCGACACCATGAAAACCGGCGTATAAACCACTCGACAACGGAGGTCGTCTTAGTCTAGTCTAGTCAAGAATAGCACAGCAGAAGCCGCATTTGTGCAGTTCATGAAGTGATGACACTGTCGCGTCTTTCGGAGGTGCTCACTGCGAGGTTGGTAGTTAACACCTCCAATAAACCAGTCCAATTACCTATTTGATGGCTGTACAATATCAAGTCCCGTAATTTATTCAATAAGCTAAAAACCTCTTACCAAATATTCTATGAAGTAGAAGGTTTCTCTTGTACCCGAATCTTTAAATATGTCATCCAGAGTATTTGTAACTGTTGTCTCTAATGTGTCTCTGTTCAATAATAGTATAACTATGAGGAATATGTTCACTGCAGCCAGCAGGAAAATGAAAATACCATACTGGAATATAGATAAAAAGTCATGTGAGTAATAAAAAGTTAAGGTTAAGTTAATAGTTTTTAAGTTTGTGTTATTTTAATGTATCTTATTTCAATAGTTTTCCTTAAAGAATTTAATTATTTAAATATTTCATTTTTAAATAGATCTTGTAAATCTGTGATTAATAAAGGCTGTGTTTTTTCGCCACTGTGTGACATTATTGAAGAAGCATTAAAATTTTCGAAATTTCACTTTGAAATTTAACTTTTAATTAATTAAACAAATATAGACAGATATTGAATCTATTACAGCTTTTGTTTAAGCATATAACTGCGTTTTTCCTATGCTCTCGCCCGGAATGTATATATTTGTAGAAATATAAACAGCCCCGACTTAGGTACATATGCATATGCCCGTATTCAGCAAACATTTGCTCCACAGGAATTCGAACCCAAAACCTCTGAATAGACGATACCTTGAAACCCGACATTCCACTCCAGCACGGAGGTCAGCAGCAACATGCTAGTAAAATAAATCATGGTGCTCATGCTAGTAGGGCAGATTGCGGTAACATAACATGGAATAAACAGAAGTGTTATCTGTAAGAAGAAACTCACTTCTCACCGCGGAATTCACCGGTGTGATTTGAAAATTATTATATCTACAAAAATTTATCAGATTGTGTTAAGCAATTATCTACAAAAAATATCCTTATACTTGCCGTTTTTCCGAAAAATCTCCATTAATGAGATACAGTGATTCCAAAAGTTGAAGAAGTCGTATCCAGAATTCCGGACTGCATGACACATTTTTTTAAATTGATGACCGATCTTAATATGCCAAGCAATGCAAAATTAAACCACTGTGCAATTCTTTACGACATGTGTAGCGTTGTCAACTTAAGTGGTTTCCCTATATAAATGGGTAAATTAAGAAGGATAGGCTTTTAAAAGAACTTGATATTTTTACTTATATAGCCAACCATGTTTTTTGGTTGACTTTGTTACTAAGTAGTAATTTAATTACACACTGTATTTAAATTGCCGCTATAACTAATAAAAATAAAGATAATTTTGACTTAAATATGAAATTCGTATTCTAATTAAATACCGCGGATTCCGAGATGAAAAGTATGTTCGGTCCTACAGAATACCACTGCAGGAGTCAGGCATTTCCTCGTTGTTCGAGGAAATGCACTGACGTCTGTTCTTTCAGTGCAAGCATGGTGTGAGACTCTTAACATATCTACTTAAATGGTATTTACAACTGCATACCAGTATTAAGAAGCATTTTATATCACCAATAGAGCCGCAGCATCCACAAAACGCGATGAAGAACAAAACCGTACCGAATACGATTGCCGATATGGCAACTATGATTGTCACATCCGATTGAATTAAGTGACTAAAGTGTATCAATAATGCACCCGCAGCCACAATCAGTAGGCCAAGGATCTGAAATAAAAAAAATGAAATATGAATCTTTTGATTTTTATAGGTATATTTACTTATAGGTATTATATATTATAAATATCCTACTAAGTACTATCATTATGTGGGCCCAATGGAAAAGTTCAAAGTTACCAAACTTTGAATATTTGTTACTAAATCAAGCTGAAACCGGCATATACTTTGATACCTGGATTGAGAACATAGAATTCTTTTCATCCCAGAAAATGTTAGGTTTCTAAGGGATTCTGCCAAAACAACAACAACACACAAACGGCCGCTATAAGTAGTAGTTACCACGTTTTTTGGACATTATGGCATCTCACTAGCGTGTGACGTCATTTTAGTCTTGTCCAATATCAGGCGTTTTCGGTCACGTGATCACGGATCAAAAAATCATTTCTATTAAATGATTTTATAGAAAAGTTATTAATTGTTTGCTCTTTCAGCATAGTAAAATCGCTGTTAATATTCATATTAAATACAGATGCCAACAACTGGTACATTATTTTTCACACTGTTAAATAAACTATTATGCATTCTATTCAAACGAAAACTTGTCTGTTTTGACATTATAAGCGAATTATCTAATTAATTAGCGGGCAAGTGGATAAGATTTTTTTTTCTATAGTACTTCGCAGTTTCATCTAAAATTGAGAATTTTTCAAACAAATATAATCATCTATTTTTATATTATTTCAGAATTAATTTAATAACAGTAAGGCGTTTTCTCTTTCTAATTAATTATACTACATTTAATTAAGCATTAAATAAAATAAAATACTTACAACAGCTACAAAATTAACAATAAATAAGAATATTTTAATAAGTACACTAAGACAACCCATGTTGCTGACTATTCGATACGTATTGCTAAACGAGCTTAAGTGTTATGAATTTGTATCTTATCGCTTCAGTTATAAAACGGGGTGGAATTGATAAACACAATCTGATAATCCTTTATTAAAAACAAAAGTGCATCAAAAAATTTGTCACTGTTAATCCAATTTAGATTAGGTAGTTTTGTTTTACATATTTTATGATAAAGTTTTCAAGTTTACAAGTCTTGGGAGAAGATAACATTGTATAATGAAGTTTTTTTATTATAATCTTATTCGGAGCGATCTAAAGCATTTAGCGATATATATTTCAAAGGCCTATATATAGAAGGTCATTGTTCAAAAATGTGAAATGAAAGCCAAGTTCGATATGCTATATAAATGCTTTAGTTTTTTGATTTCATCAAATAAAAAAGTGAGTTCTAAATGGGTGCCAAGTGCCAACAGCCGGTCCAGATTTTTTTTAATAACAACTTAAAATATCATTCCTTCTATAATGAACAAACACAGAATAATAAATTGAAGCCTTTGGCTTGGCTTGTTCTCATATACGAATACGAACAAAGGAATAAATATTCCTAAATATTTGCCCAACTGCCTATCTGGATGCCAAATTTGCACTATCTAGGGAATTGAGTTAGAATTTTGACCTATAGGTACGTCAGTGATAAGAATGTCCATTTTTGGATATTAATATCTAAATAAACGTTTAAAGTGTGTTAATGAAAGGACAATCACGAAATCTGCCCCAGCATGCACAAACGAATGTCCTTCACTATTATTATACTATTATTTTTTTACTTTATTAGAATTTATCATATAAAACGGGCATTGTGTGGTAAATAAAATAAAATTAAAAGTTCTGTAACTACAACACAGTTTGCTGTCATGTCATCCTTAGAGCCTTGAGTCAGTCTCCTCTCACCTTAATTTAAAAGCGATGTGCCCTTTGTGTATAAAGGGATAATTAGACCACATAATTTTAAGCGTGCGATATCTAGTCTGTCTTGAAATCGAGAGTCAGCGCGCTATTTACTAGTTACTTTACCCTCCTTAGTTGGTATGTATAATATATTTATAAGTTAATAATTTCTGAAATCATATAAATTTAGTTTATATGTACTCATATCCCATATTATTTTATTTATTTTTATGAAAACAGGTAATATAATGATAACCACCTAATTATCTATAATTAAATATAGTAACAGGTAAATGGCCTTTAAACATTGCATTTGAAAATAAATCTATTATTAAACAGGTAGGTATAGGTATCATAAGTGCCAACTGCCAACACTCATAAATCAATATGATTATGAGCATTTATCATTTTTATTATTAATTGCATTTTATGTTAATGAATTCAAATTATTTAAGTGCTTACATTAGAGGTAAAGAAATCTATTCAGAATATATAAAGTGTGCATCGTTTGCGATTAAGTATAATAATTATAACCTCAAAATTGAATACATTCTATAGTAGGCCACGGTTTCTCAAGTTATAGTATAGTAGTAGTATAAGTATTTCAGCAAATGCCTAATGAGAGTTTATGCATGATTTCGAACACAACTAGCATTTTCTCATTGCTATGCGTTCTGGGGCATTCAATGTGTGGGGAACGAGCAATGTTCTTTAGAGCATATATGTGTCTCGCAAATCTCAATAAATAAGCCAAATTTTACATGTTTATGAGGGTCAAAAGTGGCTCTAAATGGTTCGTGTAATACCTATTACACACGGTGCTGCTCGCTAGTTCTGTTAGTTTGAACTTGGCTTGACACGCTACCGCGTGCCTAGATCTAAATAATTGATTACCTTCTTATCGACAGAATGATACGATGAATACACTTTATGTCGTGTCTACGTCACTATCATTAAACACTTAAAGATTAGTCATAATTAATCTATAAAAGTAATAGTTATGATTATTGCTATAAATAATTAGTTCAACTGGTTTACAAATTAGAATTATAGTAAAGAGTAAATGCTTTATTGAAGTGACGTATTGTAGTAGGTACATGAATTTGTGTATTTAAATCAGCGAAGCTTTTTTTATAATTATACTGACTATAAGAAAGACATGACCACAGGCCTGCATAATTGCCTCGCTTAGTGTAAAACAGACATTGTTGAGGATTCAATTTTTGGAGGAAACAAATTCAATTCAATGCTGCATCATACCCCAGGATAAGCATAGGCACGACCAACGACACGTGATAATAATATATTTCCGATTACTAATTTTCAAAAAACAAAAATATTTGCACATTTATTATGGGTACTAATAATTTTAAATTTAAATAAAGACATAAATCAGTAATTAGCTCATGTTAAAGTTAACATTTAATTGAAATGAAAGATCTTATTAATGTTTCTAGTATAAAGAAATTGAAATTTTAACTAAAAATAGTCTTAAATCTCATATTGGTCCATGATGGAAATATCATCAAATTGAAAATATAAAGAATCTGGTAAATATTACCTGTTATGCCCATGATAAGATTATTGTCAAATTGAAAATAAAAATAACGTATTTATTTTAAACAAAATGGCCCCTGTAAATATGTCGTGTAGGTTTAGCAGCTATGTTGAAAATAAAAATAAAAGAAGTTAATTAATATAGTATTAACTCGGCTCGATAGATACTAAATATCGTAATAACTTTGTTAAATGGCTCAAATTCTGAGCAAAAATAGCACTAGTTAACATCGCGTGTTAACTCGGGAAAAAAATATCGTTGGTCACTGTTGTTAATTATTGCGGCCTATTTTAATCACTATAGTATTTGACCTTGACTGAAAACAACTGGCAACTGAAAATAAAAGGATTTAATAAATATCATATTACCTTTGCACAATGGCTCAGGTTCGGAGCAAAAGTAGCACTGGTTAACATTATGTGTTAACTCGGGCAAAAAAATCTGCGAACTTTTGCACTGCCTTAAAAATAAGGGTAGATGCTAAAAGGGTGAACATTTAGAATTGTATGTGCTTTTAATGCCGAATCATGAAAAAAGTACCTATGTCCTAAAAATTTACTTAGGAGTATGAAAAATAGTTTACAGCCTATTCTAATAGACCTACTGATTAAACGCACAAAATTCATAAGAATCAGTCAAGCTGTTTCGGAATAGTTTTGTTACAAACACTGTGAAACGAGATTTTAATATTGTGTTATGACCGGAAAGTACAAAAGAAGAAAAAAGAACGTACAAAATAAGTTCCAACTACAATGAGAGCAACGAGGACGACTAAATTTTAATAGATTTCTTGCGTTACCAAAAAAATATGCCTGATCGACGGTGTAATTTTCCACACGTCTCGTCACCGTACAGACGGTCCGTTATTTTTGCGTCTGTCATATTACGGCCGCTATATGATGGCACAACTACCCTAGGAAACCAGAGCTTAATGAATCAACCACTATGGGACATATATTAGTGGGTTTTTTTATATATGTAGATCCGAATCCCACCAAATGTTAAGTGATGGTGGAGTTCAGACGCGAAGATAGCTGGTACGTCGGTTTTACCTACCACACCAGTCATCTTCACCTTGCCGGCCTGCAAGTTTCTTCTTCACGCTTCCTTTAATGGATCCCGGTTTATAGGAGGGAGGAAACGTAATGAACGTGTATGTACTCCAAAGCAATTACGATGAGACCCGACTAGCCGTGAAGCCGCCAAATTAACACTTAGTAGACAATGACTATAGTCGGCTACAAGTTTTTTTTTTATTTTATATAAATTGGTCCGACAAATTACTCCACCCGACCTGATGTTAAGTGACGGTGAAGTCGTCCAGATGCGAATATAGCTGATACAGCAGTTCTACCTACCTCACAAACCATCCTCACACTGCCGGCCTGTATGTTGCTTCTTTACGCCTCTTTTAAAGGATCCCAGGTTGTAAGAGGGAGGGAACACGTGAGCGGGTAGAGCATTCCATTTACGGATAGTGCCACAAAGAAATGAGTTACCAAATTTCTTTGTACGCGTTGGAAGTGTGGGCAAAGTTAGACGGTGACAACGTAGATGTAAAATATCTATTGCGACAGGTGAGACATAAAGTTAGTGATTTAGGTAATTTTAATGGTAACTCGGCAATTTGCTCTAGGAAAGCTCCATTCAGTGAAGTGCAAGTGCTTCCAAAAACTATTCAATATTTAGTATGTCACAGATTGCGATACGATTATTATAATTTGCTGTTACAATGCATATAGTGAAGTGAAGCTGATAATAAAGTAGGTAGTATAGTACCAGAAGGATTCCTTAACAATGATCGTGTCTAAACCGAGAAAATTAATATTTAGTAAAAGATGATTAGCAGTTAACATAAGGCTACAAGCTAGATAAATTACAAAACAAGCCACTAAAAAACTTGCGGAGTACCTTAGCTTAGCTCTGACTTATAAAACGTGGAAAATTAAAACTTACACTTAACAAAAATAAAAACCGACGTTAAAAATTCAAACCTACTAAAAATCTACGAATATTTCTTATCCTTTACTAAAGTGTAAATTACATTAAAGTAGAATTAACTTATTAATTTAATATATAATTATTATATCAAAAGCATAAAAGTAAAATGTTGCATGTTCTTCTATGTGATAAAAATAAAACTTTAATATAGCAGTTAATCTTTGACAATATTCTTGCTGATGCACATAGCATATTTTTAAACAACGTCTGTTAAACATTATAATGCTTAAAGTTCGCATCGTAGGCTTTGTATTCGGAAATCGGTTTGTATACTAGTCATATATAAATTATATTATTGATCTCGCTTCGCTTGACAAGATACCACAGTCGTTACCCGAGCTTTCAGAAAGCCAGTCACAGTGACAGTTGTGTATGAAGTATAACGTACCGAATATTTCATTAAAATTTGATGATAAATCGAAAGTAAAATGCCAGTTTACCTAGTGAAATAATACAACAATAAATAACAGCGACACTGGGTACACATATCATCAATAAGTATCGTATGTATATTCAGTCACAGGTTTTTTTTTAATTTTTAGGTCCCTTTTTATACAATCAAATTAATAAACGGTTGAATATTTACCCATTACCCAGGT